GCGGGTCACACACACACTCAGCCGACAAGCACTCACAGGCACGCGCGCACACACAGACTTGGAAAGCACAGCAGAATGCGGGAATCTCAGCAAGGCATTCATTCCAGCGGCAAATCCCAGAAATCAGCAGTGTTCTCAGTCTGTGTTTTGGCGGGTCATTACAGAAAGGAAATCAAAAGTCCCAAAAATTGAATTCGACTGACACCGATGGAGTGTGGAGGACATGATTGGCACTTAATCATCCCCTGAATCCCCTGATTGCCCGAATACAGATCATGCAGAACCATTCTAACAGGGACAATCATGGGAGTGCCTTCAGACTAATGGCAGTTGCAGAGTTCCGAAAGTGACAAGTGGCAATGGCAATTATGGAATTCAAGATGAATTTGCACTGCGATTTCATCCATTCTCCATCAGCATAAGTGGCAAGGAGGTCCTCTTCCCAATCAGTAACTGCCCTTCCTCGTCCGTTTTCCAGATAAATATAGTCCGAACCGCATACACGTTCCAATCAATAACAACCTCTTTCCCAGCTATGGAGAAACAAGAAGACGGACAACACCAAGAACTCTCCAGCTGGAGTCCTCCGGGACATCCGTTTAAAAATTCGAACAATACAGAGAAAATTAGGATGGACCCAGCGCAAGGATGAGACACACAAATCAAGAAATGGTTTAAAAAAAAAAAAGCTCCAGCTGGAAGCACATATACCCACGCCTACAGCTGAAATTGATTTCCTCACCAAATTTCTCCCTGAATGCCTAAACGGTCACAATGACTAGCGAAGCTTGAAACGTTTCTGGCCATGCAACAAATGGTTCCCTCTCTTTGGTTGCTGTTCCCAGGACATACTCAAAACTTTAACAACGTTCCACAGGCCCTACAGATGCACCGAACCTTGGGCACTGATACGATGATATCCGGTCATGCACAGAATTGTGCCAGGTTGTGCAGCAAAATCAGAAGAGGCCAATCAGACAGCAGACAATAGCTGAGAGGAGCAGACAAATGACTTTAGTTCATGGAGAACAGGGTGCAAACTGTAGTCAAACACAAAACCATAATAGGAAAAACTAGAAGGCTAGCTAAGCTGTCCTTTGGGACATCCGTTAAAATTGGAACGATACAGAGAAGATTAGCATGGCCCCTGCGCAAGGATGACACGCATAAATCGAGAAATGGTCCAAATTAAAAAAAAAAAAGAAAAAAGGAAGGCATTAAACTGGGTTACAGGCTTTTCTCTTAACCAACTTTAGTATCAACTGTACTTCAAAAAGGATGGGAGAAAGAGGACAGCACTCTTTCAAACGTTGACGCCAAACCAGCCTGGTCCTCAATTTTCTTCACAAGACCAGCCAAACTAGCTAGCTTATTGTGGTGCATAACCTTCAGAGTAGTCCCTGTCAACCTATGGCTCTCGCAAGGAAGAAGAAAAGATAGAACGGAGCAAGCAACATGGTGTAAAGTATGCTATGAGGTCAGTTTTTTATCTTCCTCCTAATAACTCCCCCTGTTCAGAACCTCTTGCGTACAAGGCCGCCCACGTGGATGTAGGTTGATATATATTGTCACACTGTGAATCAGAGCGCGAAGTCGAAAAAAAGCACAACAAGGAAAGGAAAAGAAGTAAGGAAAGCCCCAACTGTTCATCACCTCTTACGTACAAGGCCAGCCACGTGGATGACAGGTTGAGCGCTGGCTGCCCCCATCCCCGTGTGTCACAAGGGCCCACTTGCACGCAAAGAGGTAAACAAAGAGATATATATATCGTCAAACAGAACTGCCCAGGTAAACCGTAGGCAGATGGGAGACGAGGACAACGCTGTGCCAAACTGTTTCGTCGGAGCTTCACCGACTCATCAAAATACCAAAATTCTCAATTTACCTAGGGCCGGTCAGTTCAATGATCACGTCTAAAGGCCGTCTCCTTTCATAAAAAAAAAAAAAAAAAAAAAAAACAAAGAGTTCCCGACCAAAGAAAACACATGATATATGGTAGCGTTCCTCTCGCAGTCGCTAAAAATCCACCATAATTCCGTTTCCGCATCTCCCAACCAACTTCCCCGAATAAAATTGCATCACAAAAAGGAAAAGAATACAAAAACAAGTAAAAAACAATATCAACAAAACAAAAAAGAAAAAGCAGCGGGTACAGGTACATGGACACCAGGGCCGTGCTCCAGTGGATGTATAGGTTGTTGTGATTTCTAGAAGTTTTGAAAACGTGGTCACACTGCGGCCGTGAGATTTTCAGATCGGATGGCAGAGACCCGTTCTCAAATATACTCGAATCCAGAACTAAACCTTCCCAGCTGGGGCACGGGCTCCGTCCTATCTGCCATTTTTCCCCACTGCCTATCCC